CCCCACACCCCCCCCACACGCCCGCCATGCTGTCACTTGCCCGTTTCCCAGTCACGGTGCATTTCCAGTCCCACTGGGCCCTGTGCCAGGCATTGGGGGGCACAGCCTGGCAGTCGGGTCCGCAGCGCGCAGCAGGCCAGCATCACGACAGAGGGCAGTGTGGACAGGGACTGCCAGATGCGAACTGCTGGGGTGCACAGGAGGGCGTCCTGGAGGAGCCACACCTCAGCTCCTGGTGTGAGTGGACCTCGGCCCAGGCCAGCCCCACCAGGGCACGTCAGGAAGCCGGTTCTTGCTGTCGGGGTAGTGAGGACCCTCAGGGGAGCAGCTGGTCTGCCTCACTGAGCCGTGTGGTCCTTGTAGGTACCTGCTGCTGGGACTGCCCTTCCCGGCTTGGGACCGGACGACATGAGGGCCCCAGGCCTGGGCACAAGTGGTGTTTGTGTGAGCGTATGTGTGTGTCCACGTGTGGTCACCCTGCAGGAGATTCAGGCTCAGTGCCTCCAGGAGCCTGAGCTGACACCTCCTGGCCCCCAAGGCCAGTGTGGACTCCCCAGTCTCATAGCAGGAGCGGAGGCCCAGGGGCTCCCCAGTGTGGCCCTGCCCCTGGCCTGAGTCAGCCTTCCCACATGAAAGCACTCTCCGTTCATGGCCCTTCATAGCCGCTCCTCCTTGGTGCCCTACTGTGCCCTTGAGGAGGCAGGGTGGGAGCTGCGGATCCTATCTCACAGGCAGGAAACCGAGGCCTGCCGCGCTGGTGGCCTCCAGCCTGGAGAGGCCGAAGGGCCGGGGCTCTGGTGCTTAATCGTGGGGCCTCCACTCATCTGCCAGAGGGGATGCGGCAGCACCTCCCCACAGTACGCCCAGGCATGGAACCGGAGCGCCCTGTGAGCTGCTCCTGCAGTGCCTGGCACATTTGGGGCACCTATGATTCAAACCTCCTGCCTCCCAGGCTGCTCCCCACCCCCACTGCCTTTCTAAGGACTGGAGACAGCAGCTGGCGGTGGGAGGTGGTAGCTTTAAATATGAGACGAGGAGAACAAAGGGAAAATAGAACGGGGAGTGGCCGTGGCTGAACTCCAGCAGCCGCTCCCGCCTCGGCTGGGGCGCACGGGGCCTCTCTCAGGTGGTGCCTCTGTTCTCGAGGAAGGAGGCTCTGGTGGCGGCTACTCTGGGCTTGACACTGGCTTGGCCTGGGACCCCACAGCCCAAGGGGACACGCCCCTGCTGGCCTGCCTGAAGAATCTGTCCTCTGGAGATGCGGGAAGTAGGTTAGCGTGATCTGAGTTTCTCTGCAGCCCTTCCAGGGCAGCATCAGTACTCACTGCAGTCTCCGCAGGCCCCACGGAGCTGCGAGGTGGCAGCCCCCGCAGTGGGTCCCTGTCCGGGGCTGCTATGGGGCCTTGTCGCCACCTTTGCTCTCTGACCGCGATGCACACTCATTGCTCCCCCAGGCAGAGGGCCGGGCCTGCAACTAGATGCCAAGCTCCCACACTGCTGCCCCTGTGCCCAGCAGAGGGGCTGACCAAGCACTGGGGCGAGGGACCTCAGAGGCTGACAGGGCTGCGGGCTGCGGTCGCTGTGCCCGCTCAGTAGACCTGGAGCTGCGAGGCGGAGGCAGTGGGTGGGAGGAAGTGAAAGGAGCTGATGGACCGAGGCACTGCCAGGTGTAGGGCCCCAGCTCTCTGTGGGGCAGGGGGTGAACGGACCTGGGGACATAAGGCCGTGGAGGGGGCAGTCTGGGTTCAAGTCCTGGCTAAGTCACTGCCCAGCTAGACCCTAGGCAAGCTATTCCAGCCTCAGTTTCTCCATTTGCAAACGGGGACAGCAGCTCGTACGTGGGAGGGCTACAGGACACCATGGTCATGAGAGAGTGAGCCCAGTGCCTGCCAAGCAGGGAACACAGGGCAGGAATCCTCCCCCACCGACTGCCCCAAAGTCCCTCTCTTCCAGCCCATCCTCTCCTCGATGCCTCCCAACTGCTCGGCTCCCCTCACACCCCAGCCTCCTGGAGCCCCCACTCTGCACCTGCTGTTGCTCCTTCTAACAATGCTGACCACCCAGAAAATGCCAAGGCCGAGTTCAATGCTGTTCCTCTGCAAAGCCTTCCCCGTCTTCTGGGCAAAGGGGGCACTCCCTTCCCTGAGGCCCACCGTCCTGCCCTTCTCCTGCTCCTGGATCCGGCCCTGCAGACTGGCTGTGCCTTCCTCATTGCTGGGCCCTCCTGTCGGCCCCTTGGCACATGCCTGCCAACTGACCTGCTGGGAGTGGGCGGAAGGCCAGCCTGCAACCACGTGGCACAGGCCTCAGGAATGGAGGGAAGCGAGCCACTGGGGCCAACAGCAGAGACCCCTGGGAAATATACCTGCCCTGGGCTTGGCCACCTGCCTGGGCCCCACTGTGACCACATCTGCTGTTAATGACCCATTTCTGGGAAAGCACATGAGGAGGGGGTCTGCTCTTACAGAAGTGACTAAGGTGGGAGGGGTGTGGGCCACCATGACAGCACCATACTGCGTGCCTGTGTGGGCCAGGACCGCTCGAGCTCGACCTTGCTGGGTTTCCACCCGGTACTGGGGGCCAGCTGCCAACATCCCACCCATGGGGACAGAAGGGTGTCCAGTAATGAGGCAGCATGTTATCTGTTCCAGGCACAGTCTTAAGTCTCCTCCTGCCCTGGGAGCCTTGTGCCTTTTGTCCCCATTCTAGAGAGGAAGCAACTGAGGCACAGAGAGGTGAGGAAGCTCAGGGCTGGACCTGACAGGGGCCTCGGAGCCTGCACTGTAATCGCCACCCCCACCACCCAGGGCAGGTGGCCGCCTCGCTCTCTGGCACCACCACGTACGTCCGGTTGGAGGGAGAACGATGCACTGCAGCAACTAGTCCACCATGGCGATTCCAGTCTCAGCCCCCGCTCGCCTCGCCGATCCCTGCAGCAGCACCCGGTGTGGCACAGGTCTCTGGCCAGGGCAGGCCCTGGTCGAGGAGTTGCCCTAGCCACCAAGTCCAAGTCCTAGAGGGCCAGGGTCCACTCCGAAGGTGCTCAAGACAGCTGGCCCGACGGTCGCCTTGACTAGACTGCTGTCCTCTGCGTCTGACCCACTGCGCTCAGCTCAGGGCCCTGCTATGGCAGACTCCCCCCCGACATCCTGCAGACGTGGGGACAGATCTCGTGACAGTGGACATGCAACCTTGGAAAGGTGGGACTGAGCCGGGCTGAGTGTCCCCGTGGACATGGGGAAGACAGGCTGCCAGTTCTGCCCAGGCCGAGTTTCCAGACGAGAGCCAGGGGCCAGCCCTGCGCTGACGGGGCTTTGACGTGCTGCAGCCGCTCCCTTCCCCAGCTCCCTTCCTCTGTGCACTTATTCCGACCTCTCCCTGGCCTGGAGAAGCCCTGTCCCCGGTAAAGTCACTCTTCCTTTGAGCGTTGTTCTGCAGTCCTCACCGGTCCCAAGTCCCCCTTATGCCTAGGCTGGGCATGGAGCCCCTCCTTCTCCCAGAATGCCCTGTCCTCTCCCTTTCACCAAGCTTGAAACCACTGGGCCTGAGTGGTTCCTCGCAGTGGACTGTGAGCCCACCAAGGGCACGACCTTGGCCTTTCCATCTCCATATCCCAGCACGTGGGGCCTGGCCCCCAGTAGCCGTGCATAAACATCTGGTGACCCAACTGAACTGTGTGGCCCAAAAGGTCTCACAGCGGCTCTGTTTGGTCACCAAGACTACGGCAATGTCCGTGTGCTGTCCACCTGCACTAGGCTCCTAACTGTGGTGCAGTGGGGAGAGGGCAGGCCAGGCGAGCGGGGCTGTGCTGGGCCTGCAGCCTTGCCATTCAACCAGAAACATCTCTGGGCTCCCAGAACCCAGTCGAGCCTGAGGATGCTAATCGTGTCTCCCCTAACTCAAAAGGCTGAAGATCAAGGTCAGTTTTTGGTCATTTTAATTGTAAAATCGAAGACATTTATATAAATAAGACCACTGTGTAAAATACGATTCACCCTTCTACTAAAACCCTTCTCCCCACACTCAAAAAGAAGATAGAAAACGCAGCAGAGATAAGAAGTACAAATCGGCATGCGGTCCCTGAAGCTAAGTCGCTGGCAGGCCAGGTTCCCTGCTGCAGCAGGCCTCGTGGCGAGAGCACTCCTGGCCCAGGCGTCTCACGGGAGGCTCGGTGACACCTCGAGAAACTGCTCGGTGGCATTTCCCACACCCTGGCCCCCGGCCCTCAGCTGCACAAACTGTGGAGGCCGCATAACATCTTCATGCGGCCTGGCGGGTGGGGAGGGAGGAGAGGACCGGAGGGCGCTGGGAGGCGTTGCTTGGTTCTCACACCCAAGCAGGGGTCTGGGTGCTGCTGGCCCAATAAAATGCGTAGTTAGTTCAGTCTGGAGTCAAGGGGGAAGAGCTTCTGAGGGGCTCACTTGTCTGCAGAGAACAAGGAGAGAAACTGCCCATGTCCCTTGAGAGGAATGGCTCCTTCTCGGGGCCACTTTTGTATGGCCACAAGTGACAAGGAGGGTGGGCACTTCCCAACAGTGCTGGAGACCAAAGGGCAGTGGGTTTCTGGGATTCAAGGGGAGACCAGCCCTCAAGAAGGTGGGGAGGTGGACATCCCTCCGAGCGAAATCCCACGTTCCACCTCCTTTACCCTGTCACGCCTCTCCCACCCCTGCCCGCTCCAGAGAGACCGTGACCTGCCCTGTCAATACCCTGGTACAGAGATGCCCACAAACTCACACACTCCTGGGCGTGGCTCAGGAGACTGGCGCCGAAGGACAAAAAAAAAAAGAGCCCAACTCTCCTGGGAACCCAGCGCCTGCCTGGCTGCTCCCCGCCCCAGGGGAGTGGCAGGGGAAAGGCCCGCACGGG